TGTTTGGCTGAGAACGTTCCCAATAAGGCTTCAAAAAGTGATTATTCTACTATTTGACTGTGTGTGAGAGTATACATGCATCTGAGACGCATTATTTTGGGGCCAGATTTTCTGAACTGTCCTCTTTGCCCATGTTATTTTCAAAGTGCAAATCATTTCAGGGTAGACACTGCGCAGTAGGGTGTATAGTGGTGCTGGGGTCCCAGACGGATCCCTACCGATGAACGTACTGTCCGTACGTCTGTAACAAGTTCCATTGCCTTCAGCGGCCTCCTGCAAGGAAGACTTTACACTGGACTTCACCAGGTCTTGGTTCAGGCATCAAATATTTTACAGTTACTTGTCTGTCACCACTCCTAAAAGCTTGTGAATTCAGAGATCCCTCACGCCCTCGAGATGTGGATGCAGTTCTGCATACAGGTTTTTGTTGTGTGAATGTTGTACTGATGCATGTTGATCTGCTGGCTTCTAAGCAGATTTATTATTGCAAGTACCATGTGAGTAGCAGGTATTTCAACACCCTTAACCTCAAGCTGCGCTATTCAAATGCTAACTAGTCAAATCTCTGCTGACATAGGGACCTACCAAATTCACGATTTTGCAGATTTTGCAAACTCCAGCATTGCCTGTGAAAGCAAGCAATGTCCACAAAATCCACAGGGGAGGAAAAAAAAACCACTTATGAAAAATAAAGTGCTTGCTCCCCAAAGGGAGCCAAGGAGCCTGCTGGGGTGGGGAGGGAGGAAGTGGGGTGCAAGGGCTGCTGGCAAGACGACTGCCATCCTTGCCCCTTGCCGCTGATTGGCTGAGGGCTGCCTATTATGTGGGCCCCACCCCTTTCCACCAATCAGCAGCAAGGGGTGAGGCAGTAGGACAGGCAGCTCTTGCAGCCAATCAGCAACAAGGAGTGGAGCCACCAGGACCCCTCAGCCAGAGGCATGTGGGGGCCTGCCATGCTCTACCTACAATTGGGGGGCAGCCCCCTCAAATTTGGTTGGCCCCTAGAAATCCTTGATCTTCCAATAGCAAGAGGTAGCACCCAACCACAACCAAATTGTCTTTCACTGCAGTGGGCCAATTTGGGTTTTAACCCCGGAAAAGGACAGCAGCCTTTTATATATGCAGAGACAATTATGTATCTGAGATACACTGACACAGTTGGGGCCAACCTTTTGTGGCAGGTGTGCCACAAGTTGAGCCCTGTGCCCTCCACAAGTGCCACTCGATCTGCTTCCCCTGCCCTATCTGCTGCTCTGCTTTTTGCTCCCTGCTCCATCTGCTGCCCTGATTCTGCTTCCTTCCCTGTCTGCCCTGCACAGCCTGCCGCCTCCCACATGTGCCACGCGTTGGCCATCCCTACTTTTATACCTCGCTGTTTTACACCACTGCAGCCACTCAGACAGAGTTACACCAGGGTAAAGCAGAGCAACCCAGCATTGAACAAAACCCCTTTGTCTTCTGTGAACTTCGTATGCAGCTTATATGTCTGTTGAAAACAAATGTGCAGCTTCTGTTTCTCTGCACATCCTTGAGAGCCTTCGTTGTATTGCTGATAATACCGACACAAATGCAAAGGAGCAGATCCAACATACCAGGGCATGACCACATAGTTGGAAAATAATAGTGTGTTCCCCAGCCAGCCAAGAGTCACATTTTGGATACTAGGACCAAATCTAAACTAGAATTTAGATTTAAAAAAATTATTTAGTAATTGTAAAAATGAAAACATAATCCAAGTGTCTTGGTCCCACAGTTAAGGGTTTGGAGATAATATGTGTTCATATTTTATTATTTCTCCATAAAAGGAAGGTTCTGAACAACAAAAAATGATCAAGCTGCATTTCTCTGGTTCCCCCCTCCCTCCTCCTATCACTGAATTAGATCACACAGCAGAAGGAAAAAATAATCAGTTATCTATGGCCTATCATCTGGCAGTGTAGTTTCAGTGCACAAAAGCCTTATGGCTCATTCTGTTTTCAAAAGCTTAGTTTTCATAAAATACATTTACAGTATTTATATGAGCCTCAGCGGCAAATAGTTAAAGTGCTTCAATACGGTTCCTGCAGTGTGAGTTCAAGCTTCACTTTGGGCTCATGCCAAAGACCTCCCCAACTGACCTGGCTCTCAGTGGGTCCCTGATCGTCATGCAGGGGTCAGAAGTGGCTGTATATAAAACAGTGGTCACATCACCCCTTCCTCTTCCACTAGCGATGGATGCTGGAGTGCCTTACCTACACCGAGCTTATGGACCAACTCACCTCAGATACCCTGGGACTAACTGCATTTATGTACACAATTAGATCCATATAGTAAACGTGACTTGGTATTAAATAGCTGCGCTGTACCAATACTTAGCAATCTCTTCCAGAACTGAACTGCTGTAAAGTATCACAGAGGCCAGCCCTGCACCAGCACAACAGGCTTTTCCCAGAAAAGTACCTAATTCTGGACAGCCAAGACCATTTTAGGCTCCTAAATAAAAGGGGTCTAATTTGCAGAGAGCATGTCTCCAATATCCACTGCAGCCCATAAGACCCACAGGTGGCTCAGTCTCTCAGAGGCTCAGGCCATTTACTGAGATGCCTAAAGCAGGTCTTTTCAGTCTCTAGCCTTAAAGAATCTAAGTGAACATAACTGCATATTAAATCACTTCCTCCTCAATAAACATGGGCCATTGGAAGCATAGGGGGAAAAAATCAGCTAAGAAATTCTTCATAACAGGATAGACACAAAAGTACACAACCTCCATACGGGTTGTCAACACCTGTGTTCATGCTGTTTTTCTCCCATCTTTGTATCACCACTAGGGCAGCCTGCAGGGCAAACACCACCTCTCCCCTACCCACTGTAAAGCTTCTGCCAGTGCAGCCTGAACCCATGCAGAACGCTGACACATTTCCCTAACAGAAACAGAGCAAGAGAGACAGCAAGGTGTTTAGGTGCAAGTAAATGCCATAAGACTTTGGGAACAAATGTAGTGAATACCAGGTGAACATGGAAAATCTCTTGTTTCAGCAGAAGCTGTGCCTTTCCTCCTAGACACACCACTTCTACTTATTCTGCATAGGGGGTTACCACCTCAGTCCATCAAATGCCCCCAAAGCCACAAAGGTAAAAACTTCATAATGAACCGCAATGATATCTTGCACTTACAGAGTGCCTTTCATCTGATGATCCTAACATTCTTTCCAGTCATTAATTAAAGCTTCTCAAGAGGCTTTCACAGTCATGAAACAGACACCGAGAAGTTACTTGACTTTCTCAAGGACACAGAGAGAGTCGGTGCTATATGCATGAACAGCTCAGAACGCCTGACTCACAGGTCCCAGCTCTGACAGCTAGACAATGCTTTCTCTTTTCAACAAGCAATTGCTGGGACAACAGCGTTAAGAAGACTCTTTTAAGTATCCAGGCTCATATATAGCACAGACAGGGCTCCTTTTCAATAATAACACTTATGCTGGATTTACTTTGTAGTGACAGAGCTTTCCAAATGAAGATTCCTTTCAAACATTCTTCTCTAGGATATGAAGCCAGTTCCATTTTACTAACAACTCACAACACACCTACATCCTTCAGCAGCCAAGAGTCTTGCGTAAAACCCAGGTGAGTAGATGATGCCACATTTCCAGCCCCCCCCAAACTCATGTCTAGTTTTCCCTCTCAGTGTGTGCGTGTGCCCGCATGTGTGATATCACTGCTTTTTAACCTAAGCAACTGGATAAAATTTGGGGTCCCACAGGTCTTTGATGCCATCCTGCTTATCTGTAAATCATGTGCAAAAAGTTACATATCCTTGTATCCCTCAGACAAAAAGAGAGGGTTGCTAGTGCACTGTTCCAAAGAAACGTCCCTCACTCAGCCAGCACTGAGCCTAGAAGCAATCTCTCAGATTCTTTTCGGGATCATGTGAGCAGTGCAACTTCTCTCCTCTCTTGCGCACGCACTAACGCACGCACGCATGCACGCACACTCTCTATGCCCATACATTTCAAATTCCTGGGCAGTCCCATGTACCTTTGCCACTTTGTAGTGGTTTGCATGGGTGTCCAAACTGTTGCAGCCACCTGGTTCTGAAAAGGAACTTAAATGGCTTCTTCTAATTATTTTATATGAAACAGCTTAGCTATATCCTCCAGTTTCAATGAGATGTAACTCTCCCTCTATAAATAATAACGAACCCTTAGAAAATACACTCCGATGTCTATACCCTTTTCCCTTCCATATAGTACAATCCATATGTTTATACTTGATGCCATACAAGTACGTGGAGAGAGCACTGTCAACCAAAAGGAAGCGCATCAATCTGAAAAGCAATCATTTACTTAAACAAGATTTAGCAGTAGTTACAGGTGCTGTACACTAGTCCCTGATAATTTTTGTACCTTTTGTCATCTTGGTTTTTAACCAAGGATTGATATCAAGCTAAATTATGAAGGTCTTAATATAAGCAGGCTTGGATCATGGTACAGTTGACTGACCATATAGGAGAAATGGTGACAATGATTATATGCAGAGCACTGTACAAAGTATATACAATTGAAAAAAAAAAATCTCAGTAATTTAAATGTGACTTGTAACAATGGTCTGAAATATTCAGAGCAAATGCAATTATTTTGAGTTGATTGTATTTCTTAATGGTGATCTGTGAGACAAAAAACAACAAAAAGTAGGGGGCTGTTAGTTTCATCCATTCTAAGTGAAAACTCTGCATACATAAATGTTTGCTTGGAGAATTTGTTCCTTTTGGTGCCACTCAGCTGGGTGCTCTTCTGCTTGTGACTCAGCCAGCTCACCATTCATCTCCTTCACCTTCCCCGCCCACAAGGTCTAGGACTGTATTTTAAGCAATACAGATGTCTTTTGATAGGCAACAGCTGCGGGTTGTTGGCTTCAAAGACAATATCCAAGATTAACCCTTCACCATTTATTCAGATGAACTGGTCTGAACCATTTGCACACAATGATCCATTTACTACAAATAGATGTGAATACTTTACCTTTGCAGGTGAAACACTTGATGTGAAAGTGTCTGGCCTGGACACGAAGCACTTCGCCTTTACATGGCTCCCCACATTTATGGCAATGGATAACTGGCTTCTCAGCAGGGTGGTGAGGCTCTTGAGGATGTGCCACTGTAAGAACAAAATATATCTCTTTAAGAAAAAGCAATACTGGGCTTTCTCCTCGCTGTAGAGCTCTCAGGTAACAGCGAGTGGTATAGCATCTCTCCACCACTCACATTTTTGGCTCTCCAGTAAGTTAAAGAAATTTTTTAAAAGTCTCTTACAAGTCTTCAATAAATTCGTGTTTTAAGTCATGTACGATATTTTCTTCTGTATGACATGGGAGGGAATATGGAAGGAGAAACAAAATTCAATTAGCGAATCCACTCACCCACTGCGTAGCTGGCTTTATTAGTATTGCCTGCCATTCCACAGGGCATAGATAGGTGTGCATAAGACGTTAAACAGGAAGCAAGAGGGGAGGCAAAAACTGTGCCAGCAGCACCTCAGAGAGAAATTCAGCCCCAACAAAATGAACAAAAACAGAATTCATGCACTCAAATGTTTTGGGAAGTCAGATGAAACAAGCCACTTGGTACATCAAGTACTGAGTCGGGATCATGTCCAACGTGAATGTCAGGGTGGGGGGAAAATGCATAAAAGTGCAAGCAGAAAACTAGCATATCTGAAGTTCAAGCAAAAGAGGCCAAGTTGCTTGTTCTTAGTACAGATGTCTTCAGAAGGATGCAGCCCTTTGGTGTTCAGACGTAGGTAAAGCCTGGGATGACAACACCGGATAAAACCATCCTCAGTTCAAAGGACCATAGGAAAATGGGGCTGGAAGGGACTTTGAGAGGTAGCTAATCGAACCCCCTGCTCAAGAGTGAGCCATCTCCATCTAAACCACCTTAGAGAAGTGTTTGTTTAACCTACTCTCAAAATGTCTAGTGACAGGGATTTCACAGTCTCTCCAGGTAATGTGGTCCACTACTTAACCACCCCAGAGTCAGAAAGTTCTCCCTAATATCTACTTTGCATTCAAACTTGCACAGCAGACACAGGAGAACTAGCATCACACAAGCAACATCTAACTCCCCAGTGAGATTTCTTAGCTCAGACTGGTTTGGCCAGGGGAAGAGTGCTTGAATTCTTCAGCCCAAGATTGAAGCTGTAGGTAGGCATTGAGTGGAAGGAGAGGGAGAGACACTTGTCAACTTTGTCTTCATTTTACTGCACTAATAAAACTGTTACTTTGCCGTTTTCCTTCCGACCAGCAGTGTTTAACATTTACGTTAGAGCTGCCCAAAGTGCCCCAACAAAACAGCCCAGATGGAAATGCATGGGGTGTAAGCGCTGGATGTGGCCCGGTGCATGTCATCTGATTTAGTCAGTGTTTTCCCAAACAAGTGAGCACCTCCCCAAGTCACTTTTCCCTTTTCAGTAAAAAAAAAAGTAACTCCAAATCCACATTTTTCCATGATTAAAATGAAACCCTGATATATATCTAGATATATATCTAGATATATATATTAGTGGGGCTTCATTTTAATCGGGATGGCCTCGCTCTCAGTTCCCACCCTTTCTCATAACCCTCCGACCCTTCCCTTCATACCTTGTCATCCATCCTCTGTGGCCAATTTCTTACTCCTCCCATGCCACCCTTTATACCCTGAAGCGCCTCTCATCTAGTATTTGCCATGCCAGATCCTCTCCTCGAGTAAGCTTCTGGAAATCTACTGTTACTTCACTGAGTCCTCTTGCTGTAAAACCCTCTGCTGAGCCTATAAACTCTTTGAGAAACACATGGCTAGTATTTTCCATCTATGAGGTACATGTGAGGTCCAAATGAAACAGATAACAGTAATTGCAGGATGGAGGAATTACAGCATTAAACTTAGAGGAAATACAGTTTTTTAGGCAGTGGTTTTTAATCATCCAGCTCAGCCAAAATGATAAAGTAGCTGCTGCTATTTTGTTAGCCCTGGTTTCTATTTAAAATATTTAGAGTTTAGCTGCCTGGATTCCTTGACTGGAATATGAGGCTTTATATATCTCCTCCTCTGGAGATATGCATCAGCTCATCTATTTCTTTGAAACACTGATTCAATCCACATGAGTAAGCAGAATGCAGAAGGGAATGCCAGCTAATGTATTAATTAGCAGTTGCTTCTAAGTAAGACCCCATAAGTACATCACCTTAAGTGAACTGCTTCCAATCTGTAGTCCACTACTATTTCTGGAGTGGAAGAGCATGGGTTATTTTTCTTCCAAACAAGACTATTAATTTGTAACTAAGCTAACACATTATTCATGTAGTAAGAAAGAAGCGAGGAAAAAAACCCAAACATACTAGCAAGTGCTGCCTCGTGAAAAATACTATGAGCAAAACTCTCCTATCATCCCAGTACCAGGACATGCACCTGATCTGGGGCTATTGAGGATAACTGCAAAGAGCTAAATTGGCAATGTTTAGCAGACAAGGGCCTGGGCAAAAGGTCCTCGTGACATCGATGATATGGGACCAAATCCACATGCAGCAATAGTCTGTTCTTTTTGCTGCATAGAAATAGAACAACTCAATACATTATAGGCATTGGTGTAATGAAATACTTTCCCCTTAGCTTTCAAGGCCCTTTAAATGAACACAAATGATATCATTTGCCATTTCCAGCCTAAGCTCTTTGCTGCAGCTAATTTTGATGCCTCTCTTACCGGCATCAGTTCTGGTTTTGGAATCAAGGTTCAGCAAGTGACTTCTGTTCTCCTGCAAGGAATTACTTGCAAGCATCTCCCTTTGGAAATATTCATCACACAGCAAAGCCTTCCCATGCTGGAGGTGACCCTTTTCACATTCATCAATAAGCGTGGGGGCTGGGGTGGCGTGAGCACTAAGGCGCACAGTTGACAGCACAGAGTTCACAAATTTGAGGCAATATCAGACGTGCTCACCGCGCAGCCATGCTAAATTCCAGCAAATCTGTGAATTCTGCTAAATACTTTTTTGTCACAAGGACACAGGAAAGGATGAGGAAGGATGGGGCAGGGAATTAAAACAGCATTGCAGGGAAGGTCAGAGAGAGCTACTATTGGCAGTGCACAAACTGCCTTTCAAATATTTACGACTAAAACTCACCCACACAGGAAAACGTATGTAAAAGCTTGTTGGATACTGATAATCTGGAGCTTGATTTGGAACTGGGACCTTGAACAAAGTCGGCACAACCCTGGAGTAGGGATCTTATCTCAGCAAGGGTAAATATTTCAAATCCTGCATGCATCAGCACTGCTTAGAAGATTTCCCTGGCAATGAAGCATAGCAGCGACGGTGCCAGGGGATGGATGGCCAAGGCAGCGCAAGATTTCTACTTGTGTAGTGAGGGAGGGAGGCAGGCTGAGGGAGGGAGGCAGGCTGATCAAGTGGTCAGGGCACTAGCCCAGGACTTGTGAGATTTGAGCTGAATTCCCTACTCCACCTCAAATATACCATTTGACCTCAGGCGAGTCAGAGATCGTCACTGTGCCCTGACTCTCTGTGCGTAAAACAAGAAGAGCGCTGCCCTTCCTCGCAGGATTCATGGCTATGACATACTAACTTACTGTGCTGATGGCAGCCAAGTAGTAAGGTAGCCGGTCAACATGGTCACAACTCTTGTGTACCTGCTAGAACACTACCCGGGGAATTCACAGCAACAACTGACCCATACAAGGTACTTTTAATAACCTTGGAAGTTAGTATTTCTTATTATAACCTGGCATTAGTTAATGCCACTCCAACGCCACATGCTAACACTACCCATCTAATCCTTATCTAGATCTGGGAGTGGTTGGGCCAGCTCAAAACCAATGATTTCATCACTAATGGGATCCTGCAGGTACCAGCCTTGCCCATGCCCAGGTTACATGCAAGAACTATTCTACTGTTCAGAGGTGCTGCTCCTATCTAAGCTGATGAAAATCAGATTTTCCAGGAGGCAATTAGCAGTTTCCTGCCATTTCCCACTCATTAAAAGTAAATATATAGCACCTGCTTTAGAATATGCAGTCTAATTTGAGATATTCATAGTTTACCTTAAAATAACAATCTAAAACCAGATCCCCCCCAAATTAAAATATAAATTAAACAGATTAAACAGAATGATTTCAGAGGATAAAATAATTAAGCAGAATGCAAAGCAACCCAGATGCATAAAATATACGTTACTTAAACTGAGCAGCAACCATCTTTTTGTTTGGGATTTGCACAACCCTTCGCACAATAGGGTTCTGGTCCCAAACTGCCACTCTTTGATGCTATCATAATACAAATTACAAGAAGTATTTGTATATCTCAGAATTTATATAAAATTAGGAGTATTTACTGACTAAAAAGACTTTCACATGGATTCAGTCAAACCAGACCAACTCTGCACAGACATTTTTCTATTCATTTAAACCTAATTCTGACACATCCATTTAGCTCACATCAGTAAATTTGCAGTGAGCTGCTAAACTGATATAACCAGTTTTAAACCAATATAAGAGTTTCCACATGAGGGTTTGCAGCAGTTTAACTAAATTGTTTCTTAAGCTGGCTTTAATTACATCAACACACTTCTGGGCTTAAATAAGCCCTCAGGGATATTAGTAATAAACTGATGGTAATTGGAAAGATATAACTATTTGCTTTAATATGTATATACATATATCTTTTCTTCCTCGAGCCATTTTTTCAAGCTCAGCTCTTAGGACCATTGTACTTATTGAAGTTTAAACTGTTAGTCCTTCCAGTTTTACATGGGTTGTTTGAGAACAATTAACAAGAGCCCATTAATAAGTATTGTTGCTAATGCTTCCAGTGGTTTTGTAGGGCAGCTGGAATTTCAGAAATTAAGATTGTGTGCTGAAAACTACCCCAGGGCTCCTTGCTTCATGGAGAGGCCAAATCTATCACCAAAATTACGTGCAGAAGATGTTTCCAAGAGTGGATAAAGCTCCTGGCTTCAGTTTCCAAGGACAATTTAAGTCACTGTCCCTTACGCAGGATCCCCCTGAGTTAACAAACCAATGTGGCAAGTGGTCTGTGAAACAGCTGACTTTACCAGCTGAGTTTCCCAGTTAAGAGACACATACAAAAACAAAAGAAGAAACCC